GGCAGAAGCTGCGGGCAGCACCGAGTGCCAGCAGGCGAGAGGCAGGTGAGCAGGCAGGGCGTCAGCGGGACTGAGCATCTTAGCCTGGAGGAGCAGGGGTACGACAGTAACCCGTAACGATGGTGGGGGGAGGATATCGCAGGTGTAGCAGTGTGCAAACGTGGCTGCCGTGTCCCGCTTTGCACCGCTCTTCCCCTGCGCCCGAGCCCGTCCGTGCTGGCAGCCCCTGCCATGTTGGGGAGCCGGGGGGGCAAGGGAAGGAGGGGGGGACGGTTCTCCGTACCACACGCATCGGGCAGCACTTAGGCTTGACGTCTTTCAGGTGCATTTATTTAATCAGACGGAGCAAGCTGCAGCAATACAAGTCAGCAGACTTGTAGTGAAGTAGTCGACCTGCTCTCTGCGGGAGTGCAGTTTTGCAGCTTACCTGGGATGCTCCCTCAGCTCTGTTTCTGGTGTCTAGCAGGCATGGCTGATGGAGGAGAAGCTGGGACCCCCTCAGGAGGCTGGTGGCTCCGCTGGGCTCCTTGTTAGAGTAGCGACAAGGGTTTTGGGGGGAATTTTTTTTTTTTCCCTATCGCTGATGGGTTAGCACTGAGTAGCCAGGCCAGGCTGGGAACTCAGCCCTTGTGCAGCAGCCGGGTGTGGAGCAGCGGCTGCAGCCTCTCTTGGTTGGGGGCTCGGTGCAGAGCAGGCTTCGCCCTGGCTATTGCTCACCCTTTTCTGCTGTCGCTGTTGTTATCATTGTTCATAACCCATTTGCAGGCGCCTGCCTTGCTGGGCGCTTTGCAGAGGCACCGGCAGACCGTCCCTGCCCTGTCAGGAGTGCAATCGCAGTGGGCAGGCAGATCACGTTGGCCACCCTTACCCCCCTTTTCCTGCGCACCGATAATGATCCTCATTCCCGACTAGCCAAAAGCCATCGAGAGGCGGCGTGTGGGCAGCCCTCCTGGCCAAGCCGGCACAGGGTCAGGAGGGGCTCTGTTCTGGAGAGACGCTGAAGCACAGGGGCAGTGCTGGGAATGGCCTTTCGGCAAAGCTCCCGCAGGGCAGGATGCTCAGCGAAGGGAGCTCCTGCGGTGGGGGGTTAGGGGAGGTGCCTTTTTTGCTGGTGCAGTCGTGCTGGGAAGCTGGAGGAGGCGACCTGAGCGCATTGCAGCCACCCGGGACGTGGGGACCTGGGCAACACCGCAGTGCTTTTGGTTTTTCAGCTTTTGTGGGTTTTGCACCAACCCTTTGGGTCCAGTCCACAGTTTTGGCAAGACGGCTCCCGGCATGGACATCAGCCCCAGTGCTTCCTGGGGAGCAGATGGGACATGGTCTGTGCCCTGGCTGCCACAAAGCCCAGCTCCTATTTGGCCAAGAACACCACCCAGGGAAGGCCGGGGCCTTCTGAGCATTTAATTTGCCCTGTGATGCCAGCCACGAAGAATAACACTCACCTACCTCACTCGACAAGAAAAAGTGGGGACTTCTCCCTGGCTGCTGCCCCAGCAGCATCCTCTCCTTACACTCCTGCTCGGCCGCCCCCCAGCCCTTGCCTCTTGTCCCCCCAGCCCCATTTTGGCCAGAGGAGAGCAGATGAGCACCCGTGCCAGTCCCACCAGCCCTGCCGTGGGGTAGCCCCCCTCTTGGCCGGGATCCCAGAGAGCGGGTGGCTGCTTTTGCAGTGCCATTAGCCGGACGGTGCGGCCGGAGCAGGGATCGCCAGGGCGGTGTGGGAGCAGGCAGGAGGTGATGCTGTCACCTTTCCGTGCCTCTTTCTGACTTTGTAATCCCGGGGACCTTTGTGTGGATCCCATTTTTATCTGTGTTTTCTCCCTCTCTGTCTTTCTCTCCTTCTCTCTCGCTTTCTTCTCTCCCCCTCCCGTCAGTATGTGGGCTGATCACTGCTCAAACTTTTAATTCAGATGGTAATTGGAATAATAATATGGGCAGAATCCTTCTGGCTCCGTTGCTGCAGCTGGCTTCAGGGAGCTATGAATAGCTCTGAGTCACACACTGAGATGGTTTAACTTCAAATCATTTTGTTTTGTTTTCATATTACCCATCCCCAGGCTCTAGGGCTTCACAAGGGGAGAAAAAAATCCCCCCCTCTCACTCCACCCCAAAATATAAACCGGGCAGAGGCACGTTAATAAAATCCTCTTTTGGAGAGAGAAACTGGTCAGCAGATCGTGCCTTGCGGGGCAGATGGGGACTGTTGGCACTTACTTGATCTATTTATAATTATTGAACGAAAAGGCAGAAGTGTGTATATAAAAATGGTATAGAGTTGATTACAGCTTCCTCCCCTCACCTTCCATATGTCACTTGCCTTTTTAATATGGTAAAACTCTCCCGCACGGTGACTGTGCCTTCGCGTGTGCTCGTACAGCGCCTAGCACCCAGCCCTGCCGGCACGGAGGAGCGAGAGCTCAGCCGCTGCCTCTTGTGGCAAGACAGCCCCACGGCATCGAGCTGCCCTACGAGCCCTGGCATGAACCTCGGGAATATTTGTGAGGAAGAGGAGAAGAGATGGAATTACAAAGATGATGGAGAGCACAAACCGAATGCCGCGAGTCTGCGAGGCTCTGCAAAAAGCCAAAGGGGTCTCCTCTCTGCTGCGGGTGTTTCCACCCTGACTCCCCAAGAGGCGAGAAGACGTCTGCCGTGTTGTCACCGTGCCCGAGCCGGCAGGATGGGTCTGTGGATGCTGATCTCAAAACCAGACCATGCTACACAGCCAGTAAAAGGAATAAAGGCACGAAGCGCAGCACAACCAGCGGCTGCGGTATTGACCACAGACAGGAGGGAAGCATTTGCCAGACGACTCCAGATAAAGCAAAGACTAAGAGTGTAAAAATACCCTGGGATTTTTCCATCGTTGTCGTTCACGGTGTACGTCCCAGAGCACCAGATACGGTTGTTATAAAAAGAGAAGTGGGGGAGTGCTTCAGCGTGGACTTTTCTGTTCTGTTTCATGAGACTCTTCCACCACAAATATAAGGAAGAATTGACAAATATGATCTGCTCTGGCAGGGGCTGGAGAAAGCCTGGGATGTGCGAGGTGATGCACCGTGGACTGGGATGGAGCAATGGAGGCATTGCATCAGCACCACACGCCCTGATGTTATTATTAGCCTGCAGATCCCTTGGAAAGCGATGGCAGCAGCCTGGCCCCACGCGTCTGTTCAGGGTCAGAGCAGCGCCGGGGTGGCAGCGTGGGCTGGTACAATGGCTTGTGCCACTGGAGCGTGGTGTCACCCGGGAAGGTGGGGATGACTGCAGCACGGCGGCAGTGTCCCTGGCATCACTCAATCTAGGGCGCAGGAGGGGGAAAGTGGTTGGGAAGGAGGGAAAGGCAGCCCAGGCTGCAGGGCTGGAGGGGGCTATTGGCCCCTGGGGACCCACCTGGCTGACAGCTTCAACACTGCAAGACAGGGGCTGCGATGCCCACGCTGCAGCGGCTTCCTAAAGCACTGGGGGGCTTCCTCAGGCCATGAAATACGTGGGTGTTCATGTATGCTGGGGACAGGAGGGATGAAGAGGCATCTTTCAGGACTGCAGTCTCCTGCCTAGCATCTCCCAGGGTGCCCCATGCTGCACCCACTGGTGGGGTTTCATCCCACTCCCTAGGAGTCACTGCTGACTCCCCAGCTTCCTCGGTGCACATGTGGATCCCAGGAGGCAGAGCAAACTCCAAGAAAGGTCCTTGGGCACACTCTGGGATTTGCACCTCTGTCCTTGGCCAGGCTTTCCTCCCCCTGGTCTGTGCAATAGTCAGCTGCCTGTTCAGGATGGGAATGGCATCCCCTTTTGCTGGAGGCATCTCTGAGCCTTCCCTCTTCATCCCATTTGTGTTTCAGGTTTCCAAGGAGCAACAGGGCCCTTTCACAGCCATTTGAATGGAGGTTGCACAGGGTTCGGGCTCCTGGTATGGCCCCTGGCCTTGCCGAGCTCGCAGCACCCATTTTGCAGGCAGGGATGTCAGCCGTGGCCCTGGGCCACCAGCTGCTGAGGAGGGAGGGTGGCTACATCACCTCCCGGCATGGCATCTCCGGGGGGCTAATGTGAACACCAGCCCAATGTGATGGCAGTCCCCAGCCCAGGGCTTCTCGCCTGCCTGTCTGTCTTTCCCATGGCGGCACCGCGCACTGTGGGGGTGTGTTGGGGTGGAAGTGGTAAGTGGGTTTATTTTCGTTCGTCTCCTGGCTCATGCTGCTCCGAGTTTGTGGCACCCGGTATTACTAACGCTTCCCTGCGCCAGCTGGCAGCCGGGGATGAATCAGATCGGCAGCACCATGGTGTGGACCCCTTGCCGGGCGGCCAGCTTGGGGCAATGCCTCTGGCCAAAGCGCTGGTGATGTCTCCTGCCTCTGCCCGGGGTGAGCCTTGGCACCAAAACGCCAGTGGCTTGATCTCGCTGCCAGAGATCTCTTGGTCTCATCTCACCCTCCTGCAGCTAACCTGCGGTAGCCTGCGGGGCAGGGTTGTCCCCTCTGCCCCATGCTGCCTGCCTGGGGCTGGCCGGTCCCTGTCCCTAATGCACGCCACAGGTCTCAGGTGGCTTCATGAGCTCCTCTCTGCCCACTGGGAGCATCTCTGAGCTGGGGTTGGCTCTGTGGCCATGGGGACCCTGCTCATCCTCCTGCTGCCAAAAAAGCACTTTTGCAGTTGATCAGTTCCTCTCCCTTCTGGGCATGACCTCACAGCAGGCAGTGAAGTCACACGATGACATCACAGACCTTGGTGATTCCTGTTCTCCCCATAGCAAAGACACAGAGATGCCTGGTCCTCCCCTCCACTCCCCCCTGAACACCCTAGTGATCTAAATGGAGGGATTTCGGTGACTGCCTCTTCCCCCACGAGCGTCGCTGAGACTGCAGAAGTTGGCACACTGCTTGTCAGTGTCACCTGCCCGCGTGACCCAGGCTCCAGGAGGATAATTTGGATCCTCCTGCTTGCTGCAGCCCAAAGCATCCTGAAAAATGTCATGGCTGCTTGGCATCTCTGGGACAATGGAGAGGGTCTGCCCAGAATCTCAAGGCTTGGAAGATGATGATGATGATGATGACAACGATGACGAATTCAGCTACCCCTGCCACTCCGCATGTACTCCACCCCAGTGCAAGAGCCATGACAGCTCGGGTGACAGTCAGGTGGAGGATCTGGGGGAACCCATCCCATTTTCCCTAAATCCCAGGCACTCTTACACGGTGAAAGCCGAAGGAGTGAAAAATAGAATATATGCCAAGACGTTGGCCAAGCATGCACTGGAGCTTGAGGAGGAAGCTCAGGAGTTTCAGGAACCATTTTACAAAGATGCAGAAATACATGGCAGCTTGTCTGAAGATGAGGACCACAGCTGGACCAGGACCTATCACCTTCCTGTGCATCAAAGGTTGCATGTGTCCCGAGCTGCCAGTACAGCACCGTGCAGCCCCTATGACTCTTTCCAGTCTAGCGTGGGCAAGCACTTGGGGATGGATGCGTTTGCCCCATGGGTCCACACCAGTGACCCTTATCTGGGATACCCAGAGTGCACCAGGGGAGCAGAGCCCCACATGCTGCACGAGGAGGCCACAGGGGACAGGGAGTTCCCGTCTCTGCAGCTGCCCTACGACGTGCTCAGGGAGGAGAACGCCATGCTCAGGAGGGTGGTCAGGAGCATGCAGAGCTCCTGGGAGAGCCAGGCGTGCACCGTGCGGAGGCTGGAGAGGCAGCTGAAGGCCAGCCTGGCCAAAGAGAAGAGGGAAGCCCAAGAGCTACAGTCCTTTGTCCAGCGGACTGAGTGGAGTCTCCAGCTAATGACCCAGCGGGCTCTGGAGGCAGAAAGCAATGTGGAGAAGCTGAAGCAGGAGATCTTTATTCTCCAGGGAGAGCTGGAGAGCTCCAAGATGGAGAACGAAAACCTGAAAGCAGGCCAAACAACTGACCTGGGGGCAGTGAAGCACAACATAGACTTTGCCTTGCAGAACCTCCACAAGGTAATAACGAGCGCAAACTGGTCCATCAGACAGCTTGCCTCTGGAGCGGAGTCGCTGCATTTTGTTGCTGAGGTCCTTAAATCTACCGGCAAAATTTCCGAAGTTGAAGCAGAAAAAGAGCTATGAACTCAATTCTGTGTGGGTCCTACGGATAAGTGTATGAATTGAGACCACGGGTCTCCCACTACAGCCTATACTAAAACCATTTGCTCTCACATGCTCAAATGTGTGTGTTCAGATTTGTAGCCTTTATTCTTCATGGAAATACTTTTCTTGTGATTAAGTACAAATTGCAGGTAGTGATGTAGTTTTAGCTGCTGATGCTCTGTTCTGGCACTGCAGAGCCAGCAGCAAATGTTTCCCAGGCTCTGAGCTCCAAGGTCCAGACGTGGTGGGCTCTGTGCAACAGGTCATGCCACAGCTCCGGCTGACTTGAGCTCCTATGTGGGAGCCAGGGAGGAAGCACAGCAGCACGGGATGCAGTGTTCTTAAACAGTGTGCCCATCCCTTCCCATAGCTGTACCAGCCAGAACCGGAGATGAGCACAGCCCGCGCAGGTACCTGCATTTCATCTCCTTCCTTTGCCCATTCTCGGTGAGGTGGGGAAGGTTAGGAGCAGAGATCCAGGTGCTGCTGCAGCCCATCCCTTCCCATAGCTGTACCAGCCAGAACCGGAGATGAGCACAGCCCGCGCAGGTACCTGCATTTCATCTCCTTCCTTTGCCCATTCTCGGTGAGGTGGGGAAGGTTAGGAGCAGAGATCCAGGTGCTGCTGCACATAATTTCAGTGGGCAGAAGCTCTTTAGGTCCTCCTTCCTCTTATTTTGGAGGTGGCCACCACCTGGGCCAGAAATCCAAAGTCTGGAAATTGTGCACCTACTCCTGCAGCTGGGGAAAGGGGTGGTAGTGGTGGTCAGAAACCTTTAGGAAGTTGGGAAGTATCCATACATGAGCTGTGGCGGTGCCTTTCCTCCGTTATCAGTGTCGGTGCTGGCTAAGGGTGAGCGTGGCTTATCTGGGATGGCTAAGGAAGGCGCTGGTTGGAGAAGATGCCCTTCCTCTCCTGGCTGGAGCTGGCATAGAGGGGTATACCTAAATTGCCCGCTTTTGTCACCTTCTCAAGACCTGTGGGACCCTGCAGTGCAAACTCACCATGTAATCACTGAAGATACATCTTAGTTTTATCCTAGTGGGACCATCTGTAGGCATGAAGTGACCTTTCTTTGTCACCTGGTCATCCCTCAACATTTCTGATTCATTTAGGTTACCAACCCCAGTTTCTACTGTAGGTT